TTCCTATGTTTTGAAGTACTGCTCAGAAAGTGCATGTGCCATGGATCAGAACAAGTGGTAATCTAAAGGAGCAAGGTCTGGTAAATATAGGAGGTGGGTTAATACTTCCCAGGCAAGATCTTTTAATGTGTCTTTAACTGGATTTGAAGTGTGTGATGATGCGTTATCACGAAGCAAAAAATACTTTGCCATGTCTCCTGGCCCATTCTGGTCGTTTCATGATCAAAGCATGGTTCAAACTGATTATTGTTATCGATAGCGATCAGTATTAACAGTTTCACCTGGCCTGGTTTAGAAGCTCATAATACACCACACCTTCCTGATCCCACCAAACTCAGTGCATTGTCTTCTTTCTGAAGCAATATGGCCTTGCAATTAGTGTTGATGGTTGACCTGGATCAACTCATGATTTTGTGCAATTGGTTATTCTAAAAATAAATCCACTTTTCATCACCAGTCACAATTTGATGCAAAAAACACTTTCGTGCTATTGAAGCTACATTTTACTGATGACTTTTCTGTTTTCCATTTGTCTTTCATTCAGTTGATGTGGTACCCATTTTCCTTCCTTTAAAATCTTTCCCATTGCTTGTAAACAATCAGAAATTGTTTGCTGAGCAACATTTAATCTTTCTGCAAGTTGGTTTTGAGTTTGACAGGCATCTTCATCCAACAATTTTTGTAATTGTTGGTCTTCAAGCTTTTTTGGTTGACCTGTAATGTTCTTTGTCTTTCACACTGAAATCATCACTTTTAAAGCATTTAAACCAACGTTCACAAGTATCTTGAAATGGTGCATGTTCACCATAAACTTCCCGAAGTATATGATAACTTTTTCTTCAAAATAAAGTAATGAATTAAAACTTCCCGCAAATGTTCTTTTTTTGGCACAAAATTCAACATTTTTAAGCATAAAAACATCTATGATGTTAACACCTTCAGAAAATTTGTCATATGAAGTTTTGAAGCTAGCTGTCAATACAACAAAATAGCATATGTATCAAATCACATATATATAAACATATGTGTAACTCCATATATTGAAAGAAATCCGCATTATTAATTGGTACACCCAGTATGTACTGAGAGGGAATATGAGAATATAGTGTTGTGGCCCAGAAAGTGGACTGTTTGGTGTATATGTGGTAAGTGTGTGTGCAAAATAAGGAAATCTAATACTGTATTAAGTTTTCCTAAAAAGCCAAAACCGGTTTGGCTCAGTGGATAGAGCGTCGGCTTGGGGACTGAAAGGTCCTGGGTTCAATTCCGGTCAAGGGCATGTACCTTGGTTGCGGGCACCTCCCCGGTGGGTGGTGTGCAAGAGGCAGCTGATCATGATTCTCTCTCATCGATGTTTCTAACTCTCTGTCTCTCTCTCTTCCTCTCTGTATAAAATCAATAAAATATATATTTAAAAAATTTTTCCTGAAAAGTTTTAGAGGTATTTTACTCTTCTTTACATTTTGTAAATTAATATGGAAATAACACATTTTGAGAGATAAAAATTAATATTCAGTTTTTATTGATGAATAGAGAATTCTGTTTGTGATCTTAAAAAGGAATAAATGACAATAGAACCATAACCTGAAGCTTCTTTAATTTTTGAGTATAACATGATATAATTTTTCAAAGTGGGTAGTCTTATTCTTCTTAAAGCCAAATTAATAACCTCCTGGAAGATTAAAAATGTATAACTATGGATATTTAGTAAGAGTGCTAATGCTTTTCTATCCTTATTAACACACAAATGTATCTGTGGAAGTCAGAGAAATAGTAGTGTCCCTGGAGCAAACATTTCTAACAATCAGATGTCTTTTGTTAGAAATCCAGAAAACGTATGACTGATTGCTTTCTTGCATTAAACTGAGGGTACTAAATGAAAAACAAATTAGGTACAGATGTTGAGTATATTGAGATTAATTTTATCCTCATGGGCACCATTTTCCTTAGCTGCTTGGACTAATAGCAATTTGTTTTTTAAAAAGTGAGTATGTCAAAATAACTAAGCCAATCACCACAGTTCAATAAGTTTTTTCCATATATGTATTTTGAAAGTGGATACATGTTTCTAATAAACAAGAAGTCTAGCATTTGTATTAATAATGATTTTTTACATAAGTAATATAATATATGTTCATTCATGCAACCAAGACATGTCAGACACTGAGTCAGATTCTGGGAGATTAAAAAATAAAGCAAGGTTCTCGCCTGGAGCTCTAATCTAGTGGGAAAGAGACGAGTAAGCAATAATTACAGTACAAGATAATGGGCTCTGATAGAGACAGGAACAAGAAGCTATGAAAACATGAGTTTTTCCTACTAACCAGCCTGCAGAAAGATAATATAGTCCACTATCACACAAAAAGCAAAAACTAAAAAAATAAGATAGGAGAATGGTTGCTTTTCAGGTCAAAAATAATAACAATGATTATTTACATGTAATGGCTATTGAAATTTTATAAAATCTTAGGTACTCTAAAGTAGACAGACTAGCTTTAATTATCACTGAATATCTTTATCCGTGATTTTTGTAAACAACTGAAGAGCAGGAATCATGTCTTTCACCTTTGTGTTCCAAGGCCTAGTGCAGTACCTGTTACCCAGTAACAATATTAACGTGTTGAATGAATGCATGCACAAATACATGAATATTGATGATTACATAAATGGCACACTCTGAGTTCATAGCAAACGGAATTAAGTGGATAGGCCTTTTGAAAAGAATATTTGACATCTGATATATCAGAGAGGCCTACTAAACAAAGAGAAATGAAGTTTAATAGGGATTGGTACTGACATTATTAGTTATAGCAGATCTATCTAACTCATTTCTTTATAATCTCTCTAAATGGATAGTCATGATTACAGAGTAGACATTTGGTAACTACTTACTGAAGGAACAGTTCTACCTCCACAGATCTATCTCTTGGACCCAAGTCCTCCTTTCTACACAGCTTTCTATGTCCCTCTACCCTCTTCTTCCTGAGTGGCTCCCTAGTAGTCAGGATCCTTCATTTAAAAAATGTAATTAAAAAAAAAAAAAAGCATAGGAATTACATAGTACAAAAGCCTGGCACACGCCCACATCAGATTCTAAATGGCTGAAAATTAATGAGCTAGGTTGTCCTGAGAAAATTAGTTATTTGTATGTTTTAAAATGAGAATGCATGGATCCCTACACAAAAATCTATTTTGTTATATAACAAAAGTCTTGAAATAGCAAAGAAAATATGGGCAGATTTTATGGGCCCAGCACGCTTCCGCTGCACCACTCTGCTCCCTAAAATATGGGCAGATTTTAAAACAATCTTTGCTTAGCTCTAGCCTCTCTGCTATTGTTTACCATTGGGTTTTGAGAGTCTTACCCTCTAAAAGCACAGTTTAGGAATCTGCTAATGATGGGTGAGGGATTTGTACCCAGAGTTTTGGGTTCCTTCTCTGCGGTTCCCTTCTCTCCAGGATTTGCCCTTCATGTTCCAGCCACTGCTAACTTCAAATTCTATCTGGGTTTCTCAGCCTACTAAGATTACAGCTTCCTGCTAGAGTTGTATTCTTTTGCATTCCAATTTGGAAAATGCCTTAAAGGTAAAAGGCAGGATGAATGTGTAGCTAATTTCACATGCTCCCCTTCTCTAATGGCCACATTTTCTTAGATCCTGCCTATGCCGATTGTCCTCAATGCCTTCAAACAATGTACTGTATAAATCCTGTTCAGTTTTTAGAGATGTTCTTGGCAGATATATTCTAAAACAAGTGGTCACAGTTAGAACTTGTGCCTAGTTATCAAAGTTCCTTATTGGTTGCTCAATTTTTCTGATTTCTTCTTTTATAACCTCACTAGAGGCCTGATGCACAAAATTCGTGCAAGAGTAGGCCTTCCTTCCCCCAGCTGCCAGCACTGGCTTCCCTCTGGCACCTGGGACCCAGGCTTCCCACCAGCTGTTGGTAGGCACCCAGAAACCAGGTTTCCCTCACAGCCCTGGCTTTGTCTGGAAGATTGTCCAGAAGGACATCCAGTCAAATTAGCATATTATGCTTTTATTATTATAGATATCTTCTTTTAAAATAACCATCAATGATTATTTTATATTAGAGGTATGGTGCATGGGTAGGATCTCTAGGCCTGGCCAGCCATCAGGGCCAATCAGGGCCTTCCTTCACCTGGCTGCCAGCTACCGGCCTGGGCCTTCCTTTGTTCTGTGCTACCCGTTGGTGGTTAGTGCATGTCATGGTGAGGGATCAAACTCCCGATCAGTCGAACTCCCAAGGGGACAATTTGCATATTAGCCTTTATTATATAGGACTGTGCTTTTAATGATGACAAAAGCTAATGTTTTTGATGGAATAAATCTGCTTATCATTTCTGCTCTCATTCATGGTAGATTGCTTTCCCATGTGTTTTATTGTGAGATCATATAATATTTCATCTATTTTAACATGAGGGTGTCCTAGAAGTTTAAGGTGAAGATGTTTTCTCTAAAGAGAATTAGTGCTTGTGTCTGCTCAGCGGCAAGGTGTGCTAAAGACATGGAACATATATCACCTACAACTATTCTTTGAAAATTATTTCTATCCCCTTCACCATTTTGGTCCTGCCTGATGCATACAAACTTTAATTTTTTAATAATGGTGTTTTCCTATGAAGTACATAATCAAATATAATACTCAAGTATGATCTGGACAGAGTACTAAAGAACTATTATCACCCTTATTCTGGAAAGTCTACTAATGCTAGGATAGCCTAAAGATATATTACTGCTTTTGGCAAACATGGAAAAACAATCTGTAACACAGAGATGGGGATATGCATAATTATGAGAGAGTTGGAAAAACGTGAAACTCGTTATTTATGAAGTAAGCTATGTAAATTGTGACATGTAAACCACAGTTCTATTTATTCCTTGACATTAAAAAAAATCACACAAAAATAAAGGAGAAACAAAAAGCAAGTAACAACTACCACAAAAAAGGTTTACATTTCAAAGTGATTTATGTCTCACCTTTTGAGCTGCAAGATGGAGGGCTGTTCTTTGGCTATGGTCCGTTTTATTAACGTCTGCTCCTGCCTTCAGGAGCACATCCGCACAGTCCAGTCTGTCAGCCAGCACACAGTACATCAGTGGTGTTCTCCCAAATTGATCTTCTTTGTCTTTAAAGGCAGCATTTCCTGAGTGTAAGAACATATGGTGGTATTTTATAATTGTTTGTTATTACTACTATGACTAGGAAGTACATTTACTGTTTATATTTTCTCATTTTTACTGACCCTATGGGATAGATATTACCATCCCCATATTATAGGAAACTGAGACTCAGAGAAGTAAAGTAAGCTGTTTACATGACACTGAGAGTAGGTGTTGGAGCTAAAATTCAAAATGACTGCTGGTTCCAAAGGCTATATTCTTAACTACTATGTTATGCTAAATTAACATTTTGAGATATGAAACTATTTTCCTCTCTCCCTCCTTTCTTTTGTCAACAAATATTTACTTTGTGCAGACCATATACTAGGCAGTGTGGCATGTTTTTGAGAGATAAAAAAAATGAATCCTGGTTGGCTTTCCGCTTTATACAATATGATGCAAGTGCACTGTACCCTGATGCTTCTGCTATTTACAACTAAGCTCCCAGGAAATATATATGTACGATGGAGAAAAGAAGAGAGCCTGGTTAGAGAACCATGACACTCCAGGAACAACCTGATAGTGAGTTCCCTGAAGGTTTTGTTGTTGTTTTGCTTTTTATCTTTATTTTTTATTGAATTTATTGGGGTGACATTGGTTAAAAAATTATATAGGCTTCAGGTATACAATTCCATAATACATCATCTGTTTACCACTCAAACTCAAGTCTCCTTCCATCACCATTTGTCCCCTTTACCTTCTTCTATCTCCCCTTCCCTATAGCAATCACCATACTGTGATTCTGTCCATGAGTCTTTCTCCACTCCCCCCCTCCACCCATATATAGTCAGCCTGAGTGCTAAAGTAGCCCACCAGAACACTAATAGCCACAGACACAAAATTCCTCAAGATGCCTTCTCTCTCCAGGCAAAAGACTGGGGAGTGGGTAGCCATGTAGCACTGAACTCTTTTGGCTGCACCTGCTCTACTCAAAGCTCATACAGTACAACCAAAGAAACTTCAATTCCTTTCCTCTGCAGAGACTGTGGGGAGAAGCCCTGTGCCCTAATTAAGCAAAGGATGGCAATAAGTTGGAATCTTACCCCTTCCCAACTAGAGAGTGGGGGAATGTTGTGGAGAGGAGAAAGCTGAAGAAAACAATTCTTTTTAAAAAATATGTTTTTTTATTGTTGATAATATTATAGATATTTCCCATTCCTCCCCACCTAACCCCCCCATCCCCCCTCCCTTTGCAAAAAAGCAATTCTTTAAATAGGTGCATGAAGTTGTGGACAGCTTCTGGGCAGCTCATGTATGAAACTAACCAGAATCAAACCAGAAAACCCTTTGGGAAACTGTCAGTTTCTTATTAACTTAGTTACTGGGTTACAGCCTGACCCAATAATCTCTCTTCTAGGTGTTTACTCAGGGAAAACAGAAGCATGAAAACGTGTTCCCATAAAAACCTGTATGTGGATATTTGTGGAAGCTCCATTTATAATTGTTAAGAACTAGAAACATCTCAGTTGTCCTTGATCTGAAGAATGACAAAAGAAACTGTAGCACATGCACACAATGGGATACTGCTCAACAATAAAGACAAATGTACTACTGATCCACTCAACTAGATGGGAAAAAAATCTCAAATGCATCCAGTAAAAAACTCAGCCTCGAAGGATACCTATTATTTGATTCACTTATATGGCATTCTGAAATATGCAAAACTATAGGGACAGAAAACAGAACAGTGCTGGATTTCCAGGGCTGAGATGTGGGGAGGTATTGGTTATTCAGGGACTTACAGGAATTTAGGGGTATGATAGAACTGTTCTATATCTTGATAGTGGTGATATATTGAATATATTTGTTAAAATTAAATAATTGTACAAAGGTGAAGTTTATAATATTCACTGCATTACAACTCAGTAAACTTTATTTGACAAGAACAACAATGAAAGATGTCATGGTTCCTGCTATGCACTTGAAGTGAAAAAATGCTGCTACTTTTATCACAGATAATGATCAGGTATGTATATAATAACTGAGGGCAATGTCATGGGAGTTGAGAATAAGGGAAGCTGGTTACTTTTTTTTTTTTGACAAGCAAACTAAGAAGTTTTACCTTTTTTATTTTTCAATTACAGTTTACATTAAATATTATTCTATATTAATTTCAGATGTGTAGCACAGAAGTACTTGACAAAATCATGTACTTTACACAAAGCTTTTGCATATCTTAGGAAACTATCAACAAAACAAAAGACAATATTCCCTAATGATACATCCAGTAAGGGGTTAATATGCAAAATTTATAAAGAACTCTGACAACTCGCTTTCACTGGTTTTGCTCAGTGGATAAAACAGCATCCTGCAGACTGCAGGGTCCAGGGTTCAATTCCAGTCAAGGGCATATGCCTGAGTTTGGGGCTCCATCCCTTGTAGGGGGCATGTAGGAGGCAGCCAATCAATGATTCTCTCTCATCACTGATGTTTCTCTCTCTCTCTTCCTCTCTGAAATCAATAAAAAAAATATTTTTTAACAAAAGAACTCAGACAACCCAACACCAGAAAAACAAACAATCTAATTAAAAACTGGGCAGAAAACCTGGACACTTCTCCAAAGATGGCCAATAGACACAAGAAGAGTTGCTCAATAGCACTGATTATCAGAAAAAAATGCAAATCAAATCCTAATGAGATACCACTTCACTCCTGTTAGAATGGCTCTCATTAATAAATCAAGGAACAGTAAGTGTTGGTGAGAATATGGGAAAAAAAAGCAAGCTACTTTTAAGATTTTTTTGCCATGAACTCGGCTAATGGGGGGAAAAACTGACCAAATGAAATACTTTCTTTGGGGAAATATAAATGTTAGATGAAGAAAGAGAAGGTGTAGCAGTTATTTCTGAATTATTTTGTGCCTGTAACTAAACTGTGTTTTAGCTCTAAGTGTTTCAATATATATTTACATCTTGGATCTACTGGAATCCAGAAGTACTTTCTAGCATTTCAGATAACTCACTTTGCTAATCTATGTTCACACATAGATTCATAATAAAGCAAGAAAGGTCATGGCTCTTGGAATTTAAAAGATATATTCAGATTGCCTCCCGGAGGAAGCAGATGTTCTTTTTCAAAACTTTGGTTTTGAGATGGAGGCAAAAGTTTTACATTTGATCAACATATCATAGAGGCCCCCGGTGCTGAAGTCTTGTGAGGAGTAAAGTTCTGCAAGATATTATTTTGTGCGTAAGGGCCTCCAATATCTAATCCAGAAGATTTCCGAGATTCTATCATGGCCTTTATAAGATGAGGACTCATTTAAACCCAAACTCATTTACAAAACTAAGGTGCATTGTAGGTAGAGCATGTTCCTTTGAGCTCTTCTGGAGTCAAAATGACACTCACAGAGAACATTTGGGTGTAAGGCCAGTCTCCAGTTGTCCTTCACGATTGAACGACTCTCTCTACCAGCATCGCACTTGTTAATGTTAAGCAGACAGTAGTGCCTAGAACTAGCAAGATGTCAGCAATTCTTACCATTTCCCCCTAGAGTGCAATTGTCCCTTTGGTAAGGGAGGGACTCAGGAACTGTGGTCACACATACAAATGCTGAGAAATGGAGGCAATCATCACATCCTGGGATAATCCTAACAGTTAGGATTATGATAGAGCAATAAATGGACCTAACTGATTAAATTTTGCATGGACAAAGCGAAATCAGCAGCATGGGGTTAATAGGTAACTCTACCACCAGGACATAGAACGTTAGGACGATTGCTATGCTCTTCCCCAGTCTGTAATGGACAGGGAACCTTCAACCTTCGTCAATCCCTGGCATATTTTGTTTTTGTGTAACTGGTTATTTATATTTCCCAACAGAGAAGATTTTACTAGGTTATGTCACCCACTTGATATGTTATGGCTATAAGGCAAAATCTGTGTATTTGAGGAGACTGAAGGCATAGATCCCCTCTTCATGGTGAGAAAAAGCAGCATTCAGCCTCAGTTCAGTCTTGTTTTGTGTTGCTTAAGGAGGATGGTGACTTTACCGCTAGTTTCTGAGTAACAAGGGTCCTTTCAGGTTTGGAGCTTCCTGGCTGAGAGAGCCTGTGCCTTTACATACCTGCCCTCCCATCTTCCTTAGTTTCCCCAATTGTAGGATTCAGCCAATACCTGTCCAGCCTCCACAATAGTTTAATTTTGATGTTTGATGAAATGACCGATTGTTTGGTCATCGCAACATGTACAAACGTAGGGCTTGCGCTGTAAACTGATATGCACTAGGTGACAGGCACTTGTATTTGCATTGCTGTCGGGGACAGCTAATATGGAAAGCAGCTGCCTCGTGTCTATGTTGTTTTAATTATTCTGGCAACTGTAGAGAGAGCACCTCTAATCCATGGCCATTTGGTGCTTGCTTAACTGGGCTGGCTTTCTGCATGTGCTCAGCCTGCACATAGCTTAGAAAGCTGAGCTCAACCATGACTACCGCACTCGGTTATTTTTAAGTCTACTTGGAGCAGAAGAGTCTGGATGGTTAACAGACTCAGATGTGCAGACACCAGAGCTCCAGCTCTGGCAGTTAAAGGAATGACTGCCAGTTGTAATGACAGTTGTGCCAGTCCACACCACAGCTCTGGTGCCATACTCTCCAACACGAGTAAATCCAGCATTCTCTACTGACATCTTACTTGCTTGTTCTGAAATGTTACCTTCGTGTGGCATGAGAGATGCCTTCATCTGCTTTAATCCACTCCCTATCAATCTTGGGAAGGCGTTTAAAAAATATCTGCTTATTGTTTTAAAGGCATCATAAGAACAGTGGAAAGAAAATAGGATTAATAATCAAAAAATTGGGATTGACTCTCAACTTTACAGTTATTAGCTCTATACCTAAATTTCTTAATCTCTAAATCTCAGTGTCCTAACATATGAGAATAACATACATATTTTGAGGACACTTGAGATTTTATAAAATATGTTTACATATTACTTCATAATGGTTGTGGTATCTTCACATGTCATTTACACTTATTGCTAT